GATGAAGGGCCTAGGCCCGAAACGTCAGCCTTCCTGCTCCTATGATGCTGCTTGGCCTGCTGTGTTCATCCAGCTCTGCACCTTGTTGTCTCGGTATAATAAAGCTATTGGATTTGAACATGGACAGGACTAACAGACAACTTGCCTGGAGCAACAGCATTTGTCCCCAATCTCTTTTCTCTGAAAATCATCTCATCAAAGTTTGACAGTTCTAAACCCACTGGAAAATGCTATCACCTTAAGTACATGGTACTAAAGAGAGAATTCCGAATCTACCACCCCTGTTTCCAGAAAAAAGTGACAGCAGCCAGCCATATCTGTGTAAGACCTCTGACTGGGCCTTCCATGTTGTGACTCCTTCTTCTGTCCTTCTCTGTCCAGCGAATGTGCGGCTGGCCTGTTAGTTGGCCACTTCCTGTTATAATTGCACCAAGACGCAAGGAGTGTCAGGGCTCGATAAGGATCCCAACGATGGTTTCCCAATGCTTGTGGGAATATTCAACTCTCAGAGACCACTAAAAGGCTAGAAATCACTAAATTTATTCTTCCCCTTTCTCTCAAGATGCCCCATATTTTGCTGCCATTTTCTTTTCAACATTTTTCACTACAGCATAGGAGGTTGAGGCGTGACCTTATTGAGTTTTATAAAATCATGAGGGGTATAGATAAGATAAATGGCAGGTGTCTTTTCCCTAGATGAGGGATTTCAAGACTAAGGGGCATATTTCTAAGGTGACAGGGGAAAGATTTATAAAAGACATGAGGGATAATTTTCTTACACAGAAGTGTGCGGAGCAAACTTTCAGAGCAAGTGGTGGATGCAGGTTCAGTTACAACAAGTTAGACAAGTGTACGAATAAGAAATGTTTGGAGGGATATGGGCCAAACGCAGGCAGGTGGAACTAGTTTAGTATGGGATTATGGTTGGAATGGGCTGGTTGGACCAAAAGGTCTGTTTCTATTCTGTATGACTGTATGACTCTACTGCTGAGATAAGGAAGTCCTCATTTTCTGGTTGTTACGCCAATGCATTGTAGTCTCAGGCTACCTAAGGTGGACACTTCTTTAGCAGCTTACTGATGCAATTTTCAATATCAGGTCAAAAGCCATTGCAAAGCTACAACTGAAAACGAATTGCACTTTCTACATTTTATTAACATCCTGTTCTTGCATGTACCTGGCAGCCTGCCCTTGGAAATACTTTCGGAATCCAGTCTGTAGGTGTCTTGCAAACGCATGAGGGCCTTCCCAGCTCCACTCTCATCTTCATCAGTGGGAAAGTTCTCCCTCTGGATCGAGAGATTAGCAATGAACGCTGTTCAGCAATGGAAAAGAAATAACGCTAAGAGAAACTCCAAAACTAAAAGTCAAAAAAATGTACAGTACACTTCACAGATGTCTCCTTTAACATACTGCTGCTCATTTGCTTGCAAAACAAGAAAACAAACTGTACATCCGTCCAGCTGTTACAAAGCAGAGTGAACCAATTGATCAATCATATAAACCAAGGTACCAAAGATTCAAACAACAGTTAAATTGACTGATGACAGCTGGTACTATCTCCGATTTCAGTTTCCCTGGGCCAGAAAACAAAAGGAGAAAATAAACCTAAAATTCAACTAGGCTTCTCATGTCTCACTGGTGCATAGAGCATCAACAGATACCAGAATTCTCAAATACCGCAACTGTAAACATAGTCAGCAGGACCTGGGAAATATCTGGAGGCAACCACTGGAGGCAGTTTGTGGATGTGGTCTGTTTAAAAGGCCGCCTGGGTGCTGTGGGACTTCTTCCCTGGTGGAATAAAACCAGGTCAGACTGTCCAGCCCTCACAAAACCCACATGTCCATCCATGCCTCCCCTATCCCTTATGATACTGGCCCCCTCAGTCAAAATATTTCTCCTCAAACAATCCTAAGACAGACTGTGCCTCTCTACACAACTCCTATGCCTCCTTCATGCCAGTCTATGCTATATTAGTGTCTATTCACCCACCCCAACTTACACTTTATAGAAGCAATGAACCTTGACATGACAGTTGTGTGTGTAGACAAAACAAAAAGCTTTGAAAAAAAAACCTAATCATTCATTAATAACTTGTTTGCCATGTTAAAAATATCCTCTTCCTGGACCCCAATAATGGCGTCAATCATTCAGTCCTTTAAGTTTCAATTGCTGAAGCTGTGGGAACTTGGAATCTCTTAACCTTGTTTAAAATGCATTGTGAAATTTACAGCAGAAATCAGCGAGCCAAATGCTGTCAATCAAGCAGGGGTTTAGCTGTTTCAAGAGACTAATGGATGGTTTGGTTCTCAGCAAAGAGAGTTTCTGCAAAGGAGCTGACCAGATTGTGAGAACTGGGTATGGATACTTGACTCAAAACAGCCCACACCTGTTAAAGGCCAAGGGGAATATCAGAAATGGATTAGGAATCCTGGCAACAATAATTATTAAAGGATTGCTGAATCATTCCGACTCAGTAAAAATGTAGGTTGTTATTTCTATTCATGTCTGCTTCCTTCTCTCTATCACTATTTCTTCCTTATTTTTCACCACTCATTGAAACTTCAATCTTAATTGATTGGCTCTTCCTCTGTTCTCTGCAAAGCACCTTGGGATATTTTCAGTATTAAAGTTGCTGCTAACTACATGTTGTTTTAAAATGACTATCCGGATCCTGAGAACATTTGTTGAGTGTCATGTACATTGTGAAATGCCTCACTATATTCACTAAATGTCTGAAGCAAAGTTATAAAATATACACTTTCAGCAGCAATTTTAACTGGAGGTGTCACTACAGCCGGAAGTAGGGGGAAACCATTCAGCCTATGGTAGTAGGGGAAGTCAGTGGCAAAGTCACTGGACCAGAAAGCTAGAACCCTCGGCTAATGTTCTGAGGACATGGGCTTGTATCCGACCATGGCAGATTTGAACTTTTGAAAAAACTGAAATAAGAAGTTAGCCTAGTGGAGACCATGTAAAAGGATATCTGGCTCAATTAAGAAGGAATTCCACCATCCTTGCCTGGTTTAGCTGATAATGTGACCCAGACCCACAGCAACATGGTTGACTATTAACCTGGGTCACCCGTAAAAAGTGAGGCTTGGGAAATTTTCCCCGTCAGGTCTCAAGTAAACAAATTGAACCCAAACCTAAATGGGAATAACAAGGAGGTTGGTTTCAGGGACCTAAACCGTAATGATTCTATGATTCTATTCTATGTTTCTATGATACATCTGTCAGTCAGTCAAGGGGGGTTTGTTTTAGGGGGATCATGGTGAGGGAGGGTGCTGGAAACCAGGGGCAGGGAAGATTCAAACCTTTCTCCTATTCATGCCTGAAGGTGCTCAAACTGGCCAACAACAAAACTTTCAAAATCAACTTAAAACCATGTTACATGGACATCACCAGGTTTTACTCAAACCTCTGATATTGGCTAGAATAAAGACTCCGTCTGTGGTCAAATGATGTAATTCGACCCAAATGCTTATATAGAGTGATGCCACTGACTCCCTACCACATGTTTGGCATGATTATAAGGGATCAAGGTCTATCCTAGTGTTCAACATTACATTGTCCACAAAGGAATTCTTAATTCCATAGTCTTAACAGAAATTAAAGCTATTATGCTCCACACAGTTGAACATGTTCCTAAAATAATGTACCCACTGTCTTCTCTTCAAACGAGTGAAATTCCCAACGGATAGCATTTCCATTACTTACCATCAGAAGTTTGCTGTAGAACCAAGCTCTCTAGTTTTAGCCATTCTGTGTTCAACCGCTTCATGAGTTTGTATGCATTCACTGGATGACCCAGATATCCTTCTGGGTCAGAAGTTGATATGTGTGTCAGTTGATTCAGCTTTTCAGCCCAACTGTTTATGTAACAGAAGGTATGATTAAGGATTGGAAACTGTAATTCCATTGTAATTGTATCCCACAGAAAGACTACTTTCTCTTTCTTGCAACCTGTTACGGACTGGACAGTGTGCTAGATCGGCCATTGATCATTGCAGCTTTGAAAAGGTGAAGGGGTGCTTAAAGCCCCCCCCCAATCAATTGCACTGTAGTACTGATTGCATAATTTATAAGTGGTCTTGAACGGTGAGACTGTTATAAGGCAGTAGACTTATTTCCATAGACTACTTCGTACTGGACAGGATGGAAATTAGCAATGAAGTGTAAAAGAATTTAAATTTATGTACCTTTGGTTAGTGTCTAATACACTGAGTGAAATGACATGCATTCAGATGCAGATGGAAAAGCTCCCTTTTCTCTACTTGAAGCTTCAACTTCAAGTAACTTACCTCAGGCGGTCTTTTAATTATGAATTTTATGAACTTTAAAAAATAGGCACTATAAGGTCATTCCTGTACATAACAATGAACACGGGTCCTATGATCAACACACACTGAAGGACCATCCTTTTACAATTACTTGCTAATAAGGGAGACTTTCATCAGGTTATAATGAAGGAAAACAGTAGCGTAATAATCATTTTACTGACAGAGGATTCAAACATATTGTAATCAGTACCTTTTAATTTCTGTTAATTTACTCTCTTCTGCCTTTATATATTCTTTCAGAGATTTCACCAGGTCTTTTTCAATGTAAATCAAGTCCGTCATCTGACCTGAAAGGAGAGAAATATTTTGAATAGTCTTTTTTTGAAGAATGTTTATCATTATGAAGTGAAGTTTCATTATTAAAAATTGTAACTGGGCTCCAAGCAACTGGTTGAATTTTACAAGAATGAGAAACAGCCTTCTTTTTAAAAGTGAATCAAACCAGCAGCTGATAAGATGACTGAACATTTGCATCCTTGTACTTTAGAAATTCCAAAACCATTAAAATGGAGTTAATTGGTCCAGAAAACTTCAAAGGCAATATTCATGGAGGTGTATAAAAGACCTAATCTCCTGAACCACTCACAAAACATCCAGACAATCACCCATGTCTTCAACTAGGTGACGGGCAAGTTATCAAACAAAATTGTTATGAACTTTGGGATTGTGGTTGAGAAAAATAAATTGTTCAGCCATATTCTAATCAAAGCAGAGATCTGGAATCAACTTGCCATGAACATATTTAAACCATTCAGCTTATGGCAGTAGGGAGAGGCAGTGCTGTAGCGGCAATGTCACTGGACCGGGAAGCAAGAATCCCAGGCTAATGTTCTGGAGACATGAGCTTATATCCCACTATGGCAGATTCGAATTTTGGGATAAAAACTGAAATAAAAGGAGACAGTGTAAAAGGCCAACCGGTTAGTCGGTGAGAGGGATTGTGAGATGAGCCAACTAACTCTTGCTTTTGTGTTGAAGGAACAGCTTTTCTCGAAGCATCAAAACTGTGGAATCAAACAGCACAATAAACAGGCAGGACCCAGACTGTCACACACTCTCTGTCTCCCCCCTCTCCCCATCTGATTGAATGTTTGAGCCTTGCTTGTTGTTTGACCATCCATGTGCTGCAAATTTTTAATTATTAACCCAGCAGCTACTGTTTCCAAGAAAAGATAAACTTTCAACACAAAATTGAGAGATCACCATGCCCACTGTGAAATCAGTCCTGTCATCGATTTACAAGACCTGTACACCATTAAATTTTATTGACGACATAGTGTGGAGCTGGAGGAACGCAGCAGGCCAGACAGCATCAGAGGAGCAGGAAAATTGGCGTTTTGGGTTGGGACCCTTCTCCAGCTCCACACTGTGTTATCTCTGACTCCAGCATCTGCAGTTCTTGCTATCTTTGACTAAATTTTATTGAAGTTCTCTTAGATTGCAGGTTGATTTTGTGTGTGTATGAACAATCGAATGCATGTGTGCTGGAGATTTGAAATGTTTATCGGTATTCTTACCTAGATTGGGTGTTAAGTACAACAATCACTATATTTTTCTTTTAAAAAAAGGAAACCTGTCTTCTGTGTCTTTTACAGTCTCAGGACTTAGTTAAATAGTCTCTAAATTATCAATTCTATTAGTTAAAACAAAAATCTGTTATGTATAAAGAGGGGAGTCACTTTACTCCTCCTCACCTGGTGCGTAGGATCACTGTGTTTCAATTTTTAAAGGTTTTGGATGCATATTAAAATATAATATAATTGGTGGAAGCCATGACTTTCTTGCATCTAGTAAACAACAAAACTACCAAGCTCAGGCATGGCTCATGCCATGAGCTCAAGGATGACCCACATGCAGCCCCCTCAAAGGTTTTCTATAGGTGGCCAGACCCTTCACCCTCATCCTGAAAACCCCCTCTCACCATTGGAAATTTAATCCAAAGAAGATCAACTTGCCTCTGGCAAGAAGGTTCTCGGCGTATCTGACCTCTCCAAATGCAAACATCTTCTGGGGTCAATGTGCTCCTTTGCTGAGCAGGATTTCTCCACCCCAGCTGTAAACTATGGAGCACAGTAAGACATGGTGGGAGGGAGAGCAAGAAGAAAATCTATTGAGGGTACTTTTCTGGCATGGGTGAGGGAGCCTACTGCATCATTTGGGATCAAGAAGAACAAGGCATAAACAGAGCTTTGAATGCTGCTGACATCATTGGCCCTAAAATCCCTTCTTTTGCAGCCTCTATGTCCAAAAGTGTAGGTATCAAGGAGCTGACCAGCAGTGTCTGTGTCAGGAAGATGCAACACACAGTAGTGGTGGGGGACAACATGGTAGGATGTGCAGAGAGAAAGGACCCTGTAAGCCTGCGATCAGTACAGCACATCTGTGTGTGTGTGTGTGTGTCTGTGTGTGTGTGTGTGTGTGTAATTTTCTTTCCCTTTAAAGGGCCTCATGTAGGACAGGTTCTACAGGCCATCACTCACAGGTTGAGTCACTTACTCCGTCCAACCCAAGTTTTCTTCTCCATTGCGCACCTTCAATTTCCAGCACCAGAGAAGGCCACATTGAGCTCTCATCAGCTAGTCGTTTCCAGCCTCTACCTCAAAATGCCAGCAAGCTCTGAAACATCAGATTCTGTTCCTGGTAGCTCTTCCTGCAAACCCCAGACGCTTTGTACTTTCCTAGGACCCTGCCAACCTATCCACATGTGCCTACACCTGCCCAAATTTCCTTCACAGTCCCTAGTATATGTGGTAACTGTGCCAGATGCGGTCATACACTCCTGGATGTATCCTCCTCCCACATGACCCCCTTCCCATCCATGCTTTATTATATCCTCCCATGCAAATACTATTGCCCCCATTCACAATTTTCATTACTCTTAATCCCAGCCTGTAGTTCCTATCCTGAAGGCCAATGCGCAGAGCCTCATTCTCATGGCCTGCTCTTGCTTCCTGCCCCCTACACTTTGCCCTTAGTTTCTGCAAACAAAGCTGAAGGACTGACCGTGGCCCACCCCCTTGAGAGGGCTGACAGGTCAGCCCCATCAGGTTCCGACATGATGGCTGCACATTTCCCTGGCCACATCATTCCTTCCCCACTTGGACCCCAACTCTGAATTTACCATCAGAGTGACCCACTCCCCAGACTGCAGAGGTATGAACCTCTGATTATGGTCACCCTGACCAGATGCCTGACTGTAGCCAGTCCTCTGACCTGGTACTGGAGACTGCCCTTGACTAACTCTGTTGGGTGCCTCCATAAACATCAGAGGGCTATGCCCCTAAGGCTTGGAGATATGACTGCTTGGTCACTGCACATGCAGGCAGCTGGCACATGGTGCAGGATTAATATTGACATAGCAATATGCTGTACAGCAAGATGTCCACCCCTTGACTGGGGTCTGCTGACCAGCAATGCTAGCTTCCCAGTTGTGTGTGACTGTGCTAACTGGCACGGCAAATCAAGGCACAAATGTTGCGACTGTACAGCTAGCGGCTAAGTAAATAAGTGCTAAGAGAGCAAGTAAACAACCTTGAAATGCAACCTGATCCAATCCTTGAGCTAGCTTTGTGTCTTTACATGCAAAGTGTCCCCTCTGGTAGATGCTGGTGTACCTGCAATCTAAGTTTGTGTTTCCAGTACGTCCTGCCTGGCTTTTGGAAAGGTAACGTGACAGCTGTGATGTGTTCGCACATGCAGGATGCCAATGTATGTGGATAACATACGTAAGCAACTGGTGCTGATTGAACATGCCCTGTGCTGCAGTTTGTTCTTATACAACACAGCAGTTGTTCAGAGCACATGGTGAGCTGAATCTGCCAACTACCTGTTTTTGTTTCCCTGTCAGGTTTTCTTGACCTCTAGCCAGTTTGGCAAGGTTTGGTGAGATAGAAAGCTGAGTGTTAATGAGGCGTGTTGGGCTGTAAACAAAAAGAATAATTAAGCACATTACCCCAATGGAGGAAGATTGCAGACCTCTGAGATGCACAGGGATCTGGATATCCTCATGTATAAATCACATAATGTCAGTGTACAGGTACAACAAATAATTAGGAAAGCTAAGTGAATGTTATCATTGATTGTACAAGAATTGAATACAAAATTAGGTAGGTTGTTTCTCAGTTACCCAGGGCACTGCTGAGAACGCATCTACAGTATTGTATGTAGTGTTTATTCTGGAACTTATTCGAGGAAGAATGTAATGTGTTGGGGGTTGTTTTCAGTAAAGATTTACTGGATTAGTCAGTGGAATGGAGGGGGTGGGCAGTTATCAGGAAAGGTTGGATAGGCTTATATCTGCCAGAATACAGAAAAATTAGAGGCAACTTGGATTAATGCGTAAGATCCTAAGGGTTTTGACTTTGCAGATGCGGAGGGGATGTGTTTTCTTCTTGGAGAGAATTTCAAACAGAGGTTACATGCATTTCTTTTCTCTGAGAGGGCTTTTGGAGATTTCTCCCTAAAATGACAGTGGAAGCAGAGTCATAGAGTCATACAGCACAGAAACAGATTGGTCGGTCCAACTCGTCTGCGCCGACCAGGCACCCCAATCTGACCTAGTCCCATTTGACAGCATTTGGCCCATATCCTTCCAAACTCTTCCCATTCATGTACCTATTCAGATGCCTTTTAAATGCTGTAATTGTACCAGCCTCCACCACTTCCCCTAGCAGCCCATTCCATACACACATGACCCTCTGCATGAAAAAGTTGCCCCTCAAGTCCTTTTGAAATCTTTCACCACTCACCTTAAACCTATGCCCTCTAGTTTTAGACTCCCCCCACCCTAGGAGAAAGACCTTGGCTATTCACACTATCCATGCTCCTCATGATTTTATAAATCTCTGTAAGGTTATCCTTCAACTTGTGATGCACCAGGGAAAAAAGCCGCAGCCTATTCAATCTCTTCCAATAGCTCCTTGAATATTTTCAAGACAGAGGTAGATAGATTCTTGTTAAGCAAGGGGGTGAAAGTTTATGTGGAATAGGTGGAAATGTCTATTCGCGATTAAAATCAGATCTTACTGAATGGCAGAGCATACCTGAGGGACAGAATGGCCAACTTCTGCTCCTAATTCATATAAAAGAAGATTTAGCAGAAGTGTTGAGAATCATGAGGGAGTCAGAACAGAACAGATAGGGAGAAACTGGACTGCAATGTGAGGGGCCGAGAACCATAAGACATAGATTTATAGTGATTGCCAATGTTTAACCTGAAGTCTTCAGACTTTGATGGGTCTGCAGTCAATGTTGAGGATTCCCAGGGCAACTCCGTCCTGACTGTGTACCACTGTGTTGCCACCTCTGCTAGGTCTATTTTGCCAGTGAGACAGTGGATGGTGATGCTAGGTCTGGGACATTGTCTGTAAGGTATGATTCCGTGAGTATGACTATATCAGGCTGTGGACATCTTTCCTGATTTTGGTACTAGCCCCCATATGTTAGTAAGGAGGGCCTTGCAGGGTTGACAGGGCTGTTTTTATTACCGTCGTCTTTTCCAAAGCCTAGGTCTATGCCAGGTGGTCCGTCCAGTCTCATTTCTTTGTTAAGACTTTGCAGCCTTTGATGTAACAGAGTGGCTTGATGGCCATTGCAGAGGGTCAACCACATTGCTATGGGTCTGAAGTCATATGTAGGCCGGTACAGGTTAAGATGGCAAGTTTCCTTCCTTGAAGGATATTAGTGAACCAGATGGGTTTTTCGAAACAATCCGCAATAGTAGTGCGGGCTTGAGCAGGTTCTTAATTCTAGGTATCTTTTATTGAATACTTTTATTGTTGGGATTTGAACCTGGGTTCTAGGGGATTAGCTGAGTTTCTGGAGTAATAATCCAGCAATAACACTTCTAGGCCATTGCCTGCCTATGGACACACAGACTAAGAAGTTGGCCTTATGTAGATATTCTAGACTTTGCTTTGAAAGAGATCCCCATAAGGCAAACTTGATGTACGATCTCCCTGCCCTTACATTGCTTTCTTCTCCCATAGCAAATGAAGTGCCAGTATCTTACTGTAGCCACAGCATTTTTATTAAAACCATCAATCTGTGGACCATGAGGGAGCTTCCTCATTGAATGCAAACAGCAAGCAATATGCAATGTGCACCCCAAATTGTGGCCATTTTGAAAGGTGATTTTGTTTTGCTTTAACAAGTTCCCACATCAGGCATTTTTACATGACTCAACACAAAACCTCCCTTGGATCCGTGAGCATTCTCAGATCAGCCATGACCTCATTAAATCGCAGAATGGACTCAACGGGCTGAATGGCCTACTCTGCTCCCACACCTTATGGTCTATCAGGAAGTGTTCTTATTTTTAAAAAAGAATCTGCAGAACCTTGATGAATTTGAGACAGATAAATTCGTAAAGTTTGATTAATTGAAAGTAAGTCACAAACATGTCCTTTTTGTCACAGTATCAATCTGTCACTTCTCTCCTATGTGATATCATTTACTGAAATCACACTTTGAAAAAAACACGGAGCTATTTGCTCATCATATTGATGTATCGTACTCAGCTTCTCAGTGGATTAACAAGTATGCACGCAAAAGCTTTTAAAATCTATTATTGTCCTTGCATCCAAAAATTCCACCTTATTCATTACAGGCTCCCGCAAACAAGTGTAATTAATAAAAACTTTCAGTGGTGAATATTTCATCGTGGGAGTGTGGGTAGATCTGTGTGTGGAGGGTAGTGGTAAGGCTGGGAGGGGGATGTTGATACCATTGTAATGTCTTTGAAGCTGCACTAATGAATACAGAGACTTACTGAAATGACTCCACAAAGGCCAGTATCCAGTCACCAAGTCACCCTTTATTTACATGTGGAACGTCCCTATCACTGATCCAGCTCCTTCAGAGCCAGCTGTCAGAATGTCTGAACCTCTTCTTTTTGTCTGTCAGCCAGGTCTCCCTGATTGGAACTGTTAATCTGGTCCAATCAGGGAACTCATATTCTATAAGGTCCACCTGACTGACCTTGTTACACTTACCTTGTGATGAAGGTCTTTATGCTTCGATATTCTACACCCATTTGTAAAGGTTTTAACAAATTCAGGTGAACTGAATGTAAAAAAAAATCTGTAGAACAATAAAACAGAAACTTTTGTCTTGCAGAGACAGCTGTGATTCTATGCTGAAAAGGCACCTTTTCTTGTCACAAAAATGCCTTTTCATCTGGAAACAGCCTTGCTGAGACAGTGGCTTGGACAATGGGGCAAGATGTTCTTATCTCATGGAGCTCTCTCAATATTAGTCATACGTTTCGATACAAAGCTCTCAAAATTGGTTGCAAGAAGCTGGATTCAGACTCCTTTTAAATGTGAAACACATGAGTTTTTATTTAATTTCTCTGTTGGAAGTACTGAAAGGCTGCCAGCCAGACAAGTTCCAAGATTGGTTTCTTCGAACATGGTTTGGAGCGACTTGTGTTACTCTATACAGTGCTGAGCTTTGAAACAGCACCATAAAAATCCAGGAGAGAAACTTCAACATCCCTGCAGTAGCGTGACTGGTCAGTGTTTCCAGCTCATCTGAAACTTTCATTTACTGGGATCTTAATTAAATAAGTCTGGAATAAGGTCTAGTATCAGCCATAAAACTACAAGGTCGTTATGCAAAGGCCAACTGGTTCTCTAACGTCGTTCACGAAACAAAACTAGCCACTTTAGCCACTCCGACATTTGTTGTGGATCGTGAGTCGTATGACGTGATTGCCTCTGAACTAGCCAAGCAAGTCACTCTGTCATTTTAAAATTGCTATGATGACTGCAGAGTCATAGAATCATAAAGATGGAAAGCAGGGAAACAGACCTTTTATTCTGACTCATCCATGCTGACTGTATATCCAAAATTAATCCAGTTCCATTTGCCAGCATTTGGCCCATGTCCCTCCAAACTCTTCCTATTCATATACCCATCCAGATGCCTTTTAAATGTTGTAATTGTGCCAGCCTCCACAACCTCCTCTGGCAGTTATTTCCATGCACACACCACCCCCTGCATGAAAAAGTTGCCCCTCGGTCCCTTTTAAATCTTTCCCCTCTCACCTTAAACCTATGCCCTCTAGTTTTGGACTCCCCTACCCTGGGGAAAAGACCTTGGCTATTCACCCTATCTATGCTCCTCGTGATTTTATAAACTTCTATATGGTCACCACCACTGCACCCCCAACCCCCCCACCCAGCCCCCTACGCTCCAGTGAAAAATGTCCCAGTCTATTCTTATATCTCAGACTCTCTATTGTCGGCAACATGCTGGTAAACCTTTTCTGAATCCTCTCTCATTTAATAATATCCTTCCTATAGCGGGATGACTAAAACTGCACACAGTACTCCAGAAGGGGCCTCAACAACGTCCTGTAAGTTTTTGCCTGTAACATAATAGACAACAAACAAAATTTGCTTCTGTTGGTACTCTTTCCTGAAACAGAAAAAGGAATTGCTGCCCAAAGAATGAAAATTTATGATGACAACCCCAACTTTGTGAGCAAAATAAGATGTCTTCAAAAGGATTATTCCTCTGGAGGCCATTTCAAAAAAGGTGTCTTGTATCTTCACATTTTATACTCTTGTTCCTTTGACTTTCTTGGCAAACAGGTTCTGGAGTTCATTCCTGAATGACTGTTTTAAACATTAATTGAGGTGAACGATGGGTCTTGGACAGGGGTGATAGAGGAGTAGATGAAGAGAAGGAATTCTCAAAAATGTAAATGGCAATTTAAGGAAGGTTAAGATATCTGTGCAAGGTCAAAAATCTTATCTTGAAATGTTATTTTGAACCTTGCCAGAGCAGTTATTCATCGCAGCACAGTCAGAAAATATCATATTACTCATGATGCAGCTCTTTGCGGATCTGAACGTTACCAGCAGACCAGAGAGAAGCAGAGGCAGAGGGAAGCAGAGAAAAATTAGAGCCTGTCTTTGGGACAAAAGATAGTCGTAACAATTACTGATTTGACATGAACATAACCCACATAACAAAAGGTGTCTCATATATGTATATACTGGGGGCAGTATTGACGCAGATGATAGTCAGGCATTCCCATGTCCACAGAAAACAAACAGGGGGTGGCCTACTTTCTGCTAAAGGACTCCACTTTGAGATTTGCCAAAAACAAGGGAGAGTTTGTGCTGTGCACGCTCCAATTAGTTCTCAGGCTTTAAAGTAGCCTGACCAGCTACGTGTTGAAGACAAGGCACATTTTTCACTAAACAGAACGTGGGCCCACGAGGAACTGTTGTGCTTGGTTTGGTTCCACAGCACTGTTATGGGTCACTCACAATGCAGGCTCAATCCCTGTCCCAGACATCTCTTCGTGCACTCCCATGATTTAATGCCGGCCACTGTTTATGTCTGACCCAGTGTTCTTGCTCTGGATCCAACACTTGAGCAATCATTGGGATAGAGTGGGGTGTATTCATGGTCCAATTTAAAATGATGGCCTTAAGGACATCAGATAGGATTTCCAAAACCCTAACACCTCTCTTCGAATCAGTGGGGATGAAGACAATGTAGAAAAGTCTACAACTAAATATGGAAATAAAAATGAATTTTAGTTATGACTGTGAGGGATTCAGCATATCAATATCTTTCTGCTAATGCTTAACATCATCATCAGCTCTGGTGTGAGCTAACAACAAAGAAGACCACAGACATCACCGACAACATCAATGGACTGCAGTATTTCAACAAAACCATGAACATTCCATTATGTCTTACCTATTGATGTGAAGAATTCAGCCTGTGTTTGCGAAATATAGCACCAGAACGCCAACAGATATAGAGCCAAATGTTTCATCTTCAAAAATTGTAGAACAGATCTAAACAATTAAAATATGGCATCATTTGAAAATCGACAATAAATATTGAGGTATTTCCATGTAGATCAGAGTCACATCTTTGCAGAACAAATTATGAGGCAAGCCCGGTTGTTCAGACATTAAAATGATTTGCTTTCAATGGAACAGGTTCAAAATGGTTCCAGGTGCAAAACTTCTTTTAAAATTCTGGTCCTGAGGTAATTACACTGTTTTCTTAAGAAATATCTGGCTGTTCCAATGAATCAACAATGCCTTGGTAAATATTGGTCCCTCAACTAATACTAATACAATAAATTACCTGTTTATTTCTCAAAATGCTATTTACCAGATTTTGCTTTGTACAAATTTGGTGTTGCATTTCCTATATTACAACAGTAAGTGCACTTTGAAAGTATTTTGTTGATTAGAAATCAATTTGGGATGTCCTGTTGTCATTGAATATATACTGTAAAAATTCCTTCTTATCTGTACTAGGAAAGAAAGCTGGTTAATAGCTCTCACAATCACACATGCACCCTCTCTTTCAGGTAAAACCAAACGTTTTAGTTGCAGCTCTGAGCTGGCTTATGCACATTTCCATCACACTCACTCCCAGGAAAAGTGAATGTTACCATTGTCCAGCATCTGTTTTGAAACCTGTACACTCTCACTACTGATAGACAAGCATCAGTACTTATAGTGAATGCCAAATGTCTCAGCTACTCATTCATTCAGATGCACAGTAAGCAGAACACAATGTATTACTTACTGAATTGATTCGGGATTGGCAAATCTTATATGTGGCATGCACTTTTCTCTCTGTATTACACTACTTTCCTGTTTCACTTGATCACACTTCAGGTTATCCTGTAATGCACTTTGTGAATAATGCCATAGGAGATCTACTGGGTGCCTTAAGCTATTGACTAAAGTTCACCAATAAATAAAGAATCATGTGACAATTCAGAAAGTTCACTGCTTTCTTTTTGTATAAACAGAAACTTCTTTTGATAGAGGTAGCAGTAAATGGGAGAGGAATTTTCTCATCACAAGCGTAATGTCAGATTTGTGAATCCTTTAATCTTAAAATTAATCTTGAAGGCAGACATCTGGTCAATATAGAATCACAGAATCATTATGGTGTGGCAAGAGGCTATTCAGCACATCACGCCTGCAGCAACTCTACTGGCTCATGCCAATCTCCTGCTTTTACCTATATCCTTGCATTCTATTATAATCCAAATAATCAGCCAATTCCCTCTTGAATGCCTCAAGTGAACCTGCCCCTACCACATTTGCAGGCAACGCATTCCATAGCCTAACTACTCACTTTGTGAAAAAGTTTTCTCTTGTATCACCCTTGCTTCTTTTGTACATCATTTTAAATCTATGCCGTCTCATTCTTGCTATCTTTACAAGCAGAAACAGCTTCATTCCATTTACTCCGTACAGCCTGATCATGATTTTCAAAACATCAATCAGATCTCCGCTCAGCCTTCTCCTCTTCAGGGAGCACTTCTTCAATCCTCCCTCATGGCTGAAGGTTCTCAAATCTGGAATCATTCTAGGAAATTGAAGGAAGCGGAGTATGCTATTCTTGAGTCTGTTCCATCATGCAAATAGATACAGCCGATCTATTTCTTAACTTACCATTTATTTGTCTTGGCTTTATACGCTGTAACAGCCATACATAATAAGAACAAATCAACTTCAGTTTTGAAATCTCTTTTTATGACTTGGTCTCAACAGCTTTTTGAGAGAAGGCAACTGCATATTTAGACCATACTTTGTATAAAGAATTGCTTTCTGGTAGTACCCTGCTTGGCTGTGCGACATCACCTTGTTGTGGATTCCCCTAGTAGAGGAAAGAAGTTTCTATCTGTTTACCTGTCAAGTCCTATCATCATCCTAAACATCTCACACCCCTTTTCTCATGAGAGAGAAAAATTAACACGAAATTTCCTCATATTTTTAACCTTTTTTTAAATCGCTGGTATCGCTGAACATAGAACAGAGAGTACAGAAAGAGGCTATTCAGCCCACTGCATTCGCCTCTGCTTCACAGCAGGTCAGCACGTCACCCTGTGCAGCCATTCCCCCTCAGCTCTACAGATTTTCTCGAAGAAAAATATCCAATTCTCTCTTGAAAACCATCACTGAATGAGCTTTCAGCACACTGCCAGCCTGTGCATTCCAGAACCTAACCACACCTTCAAATAATTCCAATAAATTGGTTAAACATAATGTCCCTTTCAAAAACCTTGCTGACTTTTCCTGATTACCATGAGTTTTATAGAACATAGAACATAGAACATAGAACATTACAGCGCAGTACAGGCCCTTCGGCCCTCGATGTTGCGCCGACCTGTGAAACCAATCAGAAGCCCATCTAACCTAAACTATTCCATTATCATCCATATGTTTATCCAACGACCATTTAAATGCCCTTAAAGTGGGCGAGTCTACTATTTTTGCAGGCAGGGCATTCCACGCCCTTACTACTCTCTGAGTAAAGAACCTACCTCTGACATCTGTCCTATATCTATCACCCCTTAATTTAAAGCTATGTCCCCTCGTGCTAGCCATCACCATCCGAGGAAAAAGGCTCCTACTGTCCACCCTATCTAATCCTCTGATCATCTTGTATGTCTCTATCAAGTCACCTCTTAACCTTCTTCTCTCTAACGAAAACAGCCTCAAGACCCTCAGCCTTTCCTCATAAGACCTTCCCTCCATACCGGGCAACATCCTGGTAAACTCATTGCAAAATCTAACCGGTTATCATAAATATCACCTCTATACCTCAGAATTACAAGTTGAACCTAATCATCCCTAAGAATGAGCTTGGTTATTAAGTGAATGAACTCAGCAACTACAGCTTACACCAATGTGATAAATAATTATAAGAACAATCTCTCGGCAGGAAAGATGGGTTATGTCACTGGGGCTCTAAACAAAGCAGCACACTTGCAACGATCAGCTGTTATAGATAGGGGAGGAAAGCCCAACTTTGAAAATAGCTTTAATGGGGTTGACATTGAAGGAAGTATGACCAATAATGGACACAGAAGATGGTAACTTCTCCTAAGATGCTAGATCAGGTTCGTATGGTACACTGAGAGTGTCCATCTCCTGATTGCAGGAGGTCTGGGTTCAAGTCCCACCTGCTCCAGAGTTGATTGACAAAGTTGATTACATGAAACCTGGATTGGAAATATCGCAGATTTTGTTTTACATGCAGGCCTGGATTGTAAAATTTAGCTTTAAAAATCAATCACTTTCATTAAGTCGACAAAGTCAATTCATCCATTTTAAAGTCTAACATCTGGCTTCCTGCAGCCCTTTCACATTCTGCAACTCTTCTTTATTAACTATATTATTGATTTTGTTATTTAAAGCCTGTCATGAACCAGACAATTGTTAAGTGATGGACCTTGATTAAATTATAACTAATGAATTGATGCGATATATTATCATTGAAAGGACTGAGTTAATACGTTATAAAGCTTATGCTTCTAAAAACTGCAGAACAGTATGATTGTTATTCTTCAAACTCGCTAAGTTCCAGAAAATGCCAAAACCTCGCCAAAATAAGATTCATTGTTTAGTCCCATCAAGATTAACGAGTAAAGAAAGCTAATGTCTTGTACTGATTAAATATTTGAAAGATTATTGCACTAATTAGCAAACAGGTAGCAGAAGGTTAAATATCGAACTGTGTTTAATGCATTAAAAAATAAATCAGTAATTACATTAGAAAGATTGAGGACAGCACAGTGGCTCAGTGGTTAGCACTGCTACCTCACAGCACCAGGGATCCAGGTCCTATTCCACCCCAGGCAACTATCTGTGTGGAGTTTGCACATTTTCCCTGTGTCTGCGTGGGTTTCTTCCTGTGCATCAGTTTCCTCCCAAAATCCAAAGATGTGTAGGTTTGGTGGATTGGCCATACCAAATTGCCCATCGTGTCCAGGGATGTGCAGGCTAAGAGGGTTAGCCACGGAAAATGCGGAGCTATGGGGACAGGGTGGGAGAGTGGGTCTGAGTGGGATGCACTTCAGAGGATCTGTGTGGACTCGACGGGCGAAATGGCCTGTTTCCACACAGCAGGGATTCTAAGGTTTATTTCAAAACTGTAAAGCTATATTTGCTGCATGAAGTATGTGCACTTAGAATAAGTGGGAGAGATCTTCAAACTCCGATTAGCCTTTAAAGTTTATTATGACCTTATGAAGAGCCAAAGTCTAAAGATACTATATGAAGAGTAGACTGTGTACAATCACGTAAGTGTTAGAGGAAAAGAATTCTATTTAACTTCTGCTTAAGACTAGGATCGATTAAATTAATCCCTCATTAGAAATTGACCAATTGTCATGTTACAACAGGCCTAACTCTGACATAAAGTAATTTCCATTTTGGGGATTAAAGTTGAGTTCCTTGCTAGTCACAAAATGAAGATCTCCCAGGCCAGAATTCCTAGAGAAAATCTGTGTAAGATAGCATTGAAGACTCCTAAGACAGCATTCCAATGGGACAATTGGCAAAGAAATAGTTCACAAATGTTACACTTCTGCTGACAGGTTACCTGCAAGGAATGGTGAAAAAGTTTTCAAGTTGACATAGTATATCTTTGCTTTTATTAAATACCTGTGAAGATATACCATTCAAGAGTCCTGCCTTTTAAATTATAGTGACTTGACATAACCGAAATAAGTTAAATAAGTTGGATAATAATGTAAAAAAATTCTCTAATTCAATATGTCCTAGATTCACATTCTTATATTGAGAATCTCCTGGAGTGTTGTCACCAGCATGAGGAGTATGAAAAGTGATCTGTGAGCACGTTCATGTTCTACATTAGAATCAGTAACAGCAAGCGTCCTAAATAGAATAGGCACTTGCAATCACTCGTACAACGGAATATTTGATCCATCGAAAACAGTAGAGTGATGTATGTCTGGTAACTGATCTTGATGATGTCTTCACAACAAACTATCCACCATAATGGTAACTACCTTAATCTTCTATTTCCAACCAACACTCCATTATCTCTCATTCACACAATATAATGCTCCTACTCCCACATGTTGTATTGTTTATAACTGAATGACGCAACATCATGAAATTTTATTTGCAAATGATATTTCCAAGTAATGTTTAAAATACCATATAGTTACATTTCCCATCCCCAGAATGTGAATAACTCAGCATATCAATAAATGTGTTTCAGAGATAGTAGAGATGCATTTCTGAAAAAGGGTCTAGGCCTGAAACGTCAGCTTTCCTGCTCCTCTGATGCTGCTTGGCCTGCTGTGTTCATCCAGCTCTACAC